ACTCTGCAGGCTACTTCTTTCAGATAGCCTATAGGCCAGCATCGGAGGGCAGGCTTGTGAATCCTCACTTTCCCTGACAGACAGGCCCTTGGGCTCACTCCTGACGGACGAACGGAGCCTTCCAAGCCAGCCTGGCCACAGGGCAGCACAACCCAAGACACCCCCTAAACAATTCTGCCTCCTCAGCCAACAGTTAAGGAAATTCTCCCTCATGTGCCCAAGTGTCACTGGTAGTTTGCAAAGGAAAACGTAACTACTAAACTGGGAATTAGGGTTTCATGGACCATTAATGATTTTCATCAATAATAAAGGCTACGTGGCATTGAACACATTCACCCAGTTGCAGCACCAAGCTAGAGGTCATGTGCAATAGTTCTCACTTAACCCTATAAAATCACGCAGGGTAAGGTAGCATTACTTTGAGTTTAAAAAAGAATACTAAAAAAAAAAAAGAGTTAAGTAAGTTGCCTGAGCCACACAGCCAATAAACAGAAAGGTCGGGATTCAAATGTGAGTAGATCTGACTTAAAGTCTACCTCATTTCACTGCACACAAAATGTTCCAAGGAATTGGAACATGTTTATATACAATTTAAGTCAGACTGTTAGCTGACAAAACTGCCAGAAAAGTCCGTCATTTTTTATATCGCACTCTTTACATATTTAATGAAATTCACATTTATTTGTATTCACACTTACTGATGCATGTACATACATTTTTTTCCTGTAAAATAATCTTTTAAAAGTTCTTTAATTGTAGCCTATAATACTGGTACACACACACACTTTTTATCTCATTTTCATCAGTAAAAAACCCTAAAATACTATGAATTAATTCCTTCAGAAAAATCTTTACTTCAAAATTGTGTAACAATTCAATTATTTAACAGTATAAAATTTTATAGTGGTTATAATTTTAATTTAATGGCCAAAGGAAATAGAAGTTAAAGAAATAAAATTCTGCTAAATCCAAATTCAGATTTACATATATTTTTAAAGTACTGTGGCTGCTCAGAAAGATGAGGTAACTGGTAGAAGGCTAAATTTGTGGCTCAGAGAGGTTATGTATAAGTTCATGGAGTATGACAGTGTCTTAGTGGGAAACTGGATCCAGGACTTCTCATTTCCATGTTAGGGCCACACATTACACTGCTCAAATGTGAAGTCTACATTTTGCTTTGGATCCAGAAAGATTAAGGGACTAAAGGTAATTAGAAAATCCACATAGAAATATAGTTGGGCTGTTGCGTTTTATACAGATATCCACTGTGGTTCCTACCACATTGTAATTATTTATTTGCATCCCTCACTTCCACTAGACTTGAAACTCCTATAAAGTAAGAATTGCATCTTTTTCTATTTGAATTTCTAGAGTCTTCCATAACAGTGATGGATGAAGGGAAGGAAGGGAGAGAAGAGGGTGGAAGAGAAAGAAAGAAAAAAAATCTATAGAAAACTCCAAGAGAAACAACCTAAGAGATAGAAAACACCAGGTAGCAGAACAAACGCTATGATATGAGTGACATAAAAATATTCCATCATGTGGACATGATAGAAAAAATATGATGGGGAAAAGCATGTCATAAAAAAGTGGGCAATCTTAGTTGAAAAAAAAGTTTGTCCAAAACCAAAATGGGGGTGATGGCTCTTTATCAAAATGAAGCCAAAATTACACAATTTTTAAAAAATTATCTTTGTAGATTTTCTTCCCAGTCAAAATGGAGGTGTTTTGTGTAGAAAGTAGAACTTCTTGAGTCTAGACTTATGTCCATGTATGACAATAAATGTTTCATTTTTAGAACAGTGATTGATTTGCTGTCAACTCAGTGGTTTATTGATACAAAACCCAAATGACACACCAGAAGTCCTAAAAATTTACTTACAGAGAGACATCTGTTATTAGGTTAATCTGACTTTTTCATCAACTCTTTCTAAATTAGGAATAACTGTACCTAAAAGTATCCATTCCCCCAAATCTAAGCATGCTCACAAAATGAATGTTTACACAAGCATTCTACTTAGATTGCTTTCAGTAGTTAGCTGCCACTTAAACATCTGAAAGTCAAGCAATCGTGTAATATAACCTCCAGAACTACATGGTGCATAAGAAATGCAAATATTGTTTATGATGAAAACTGAGAAAAGCAATGTTCATGGCATGCTGCCAAGTTTAATTTCCTGTCATGTCTTTGGCATATAGTAAAAAACCCTTTTGTCTTGACCTTCCAAGCAACTGTACCAAAAGTGTATTCGTAAACAAAAATGATGTGAAAAGAATCAAACAGATTGTGTAGGACAACTCTAGATTTGCTTAAAATTGAGTATTCTGATAAAAAATGCAAATATTTCATCGACCGTTTTCTTTGTGCAAAGCTACGGAAACATGAAAATCCAAATGTATACATTTGGATTCACCAGAGATAGGAAGGTAATTTTGCTTTTCCAAGACAGTTTTCCCTCACAAGAGATGTATTTACATAATTTCTTTAAATAGCAAACTTGTCTAGGGCATTTAAAATAAGTCTGACAAGAGCATGAATAAAAAAAATCTTCACAAACTTTACAGTTGCATGGTAGGAAGACATACATCCACACACAAACATTCTATACAACCAAGCATTATTTGGAAATAGAAAATAGCATAAAGTATTTATGGTCTCATTGGGCTACATTATAATATCCACATTGTTTTAGCTCTCATCTACTTGTTAAAGCAGTCTGTGATGAAAATGATACTTATCATCATCATCATCATTATTATAAATAGAGTGCTCACTTGTGCCCACCCCATTTATGCTTTCCCTGCATTCTCTCACTTAATCCTGTCAACCAAACCATAGGGGACTCCTGTTATTCCCATTTTAGAAATAGGAATTTTGAAACATAAAAAGGCTAGACATCTCACAGCTTACGTGTGAACTTCTGGAATTTCGGTCTCGGGAGTTTGGCACTAAAACCTCTGCTTGAACACACTTGCTGCACAGCTTCCTGTAATCCCCGCCATATAATCTTTTAGAAAATGTCCATCTCATCATGTCACTAACTGGCTGGAAACCCTTTAATGGCTTCCCATCTCACTTAAAACTCAAATGCTCACCACGTCCTTCAAGACCAATATAATCTGCCCTGACTACCCTCTTGGAAACTATCAAATATTTTTGTCCTCCCTCATTGTGTTCCAGACTCACTGATTTTTTGTTGCTCTTCTGAGACACTGAGCTGGCTTTGCACTTGTTAGTCCTCTCCACAAATATTCTTCCCCTCCTTTCATTTTCTCCCTCGCTTCCTTCAGGAGCCTACTCAAGTGGCAACTCTTCAAAGGGGCTTTCCCTCATCACCTTCACTAAAAGAAAGCTTACCTGCCCCTCTGTGATTGTCCGTCCCTTTAATTATTCTTTATTTTTTATAGACTGTATCACTCCCATAAAATCACACTACATAATTAGAGAGTTATTTGTTCACTTGTTTAATGTCTGTTCCTTGGGGATGGGACCTTACTGCTCACCTCTGTGGCACTAGGGCTTAGAACGGCGCCTGGCAAAAAGTGTGTGCTCCACAGGCTTCTGTGGACTGAATGAATAAAAAAATTAAACATATGTACATTTTTAATATAGAATGTCTGGGAAACTAAACACACCACCATCAATGGAGGGGGAAGACTAATAAATGATTAGAATTAATAACAAAAGTGTAAGTGGTACTCTTAGTTTTTAAGTGATTTTCTCATGTGCAATTTTTGGAGTGGCATATAGCTATGTAAATATATATGTACACAAATGATAAAATTTGGACAAGTATGGAAATCATACAGATACCTCTGTGCTTGGTTATCACCAGGAAAGGGTCTTGTTTCACCTCATTTGGAGGGCACAGGGTATGTTGTGGGGGGTTCGTTGTTTTAGGTGCTAGCCAGGCAAGGGTAGGTTGGGATGGATGGAGTTAAGAGGTCTATGTAGGAGCTAAAATAACAGCAATAAGAAGAACTTTTTGGCACAAATCCCTAATCCTTTACCTCCGGAACTCTGTTAAATTCCAGTGCAACCTCAGGGATGGGGTCAAGGCTAAATTTCCTCCAGAGATGCTTCAATGGTACCCCCCTGCACCCATATTTCAGACTTTCTCTTGAGAAGACTCTTCCTACTGGGAGCCTAGAAATGACCTGACTTGTGCATGATCAGTCCTATAAACCAATCTAGAGCCACGTAAGCACCACAAGGGTCAAGCTGGACCAAATCCCCAAGGCTCAGTCTCAGCACTTGCGTTCTGAGGCGACACCTGGACAGAACATCTTAAGGGGACAGGAAGTAAGCAGCAAGAGCCACTCATCGGCGGCATCTGTCGAACGGTGTGTGTACATGTTGGGTGGGACCCCTGAAATTTAAATCCAGACATTTTCCAAAGAACACAAACAGAAGTTCTGTTTAATAACCTGAATGCGAGAAGTGACTTCAAACACTTGAAGTATATTTATAAAGATAAGTAGGAATGGCAATATAATGTTTTTCTTCTTTCACACTCCAAATGACATTAACCAGAATTTGAATACAGATATAATTTTGGATTCAGGTACTACAGACATAATGAAAGGAGGTAGATTTTTATAAAAATAAGTACATTTTTAAGGATATGAAATAGTGTGATGACATGATATATATACTATGACTATATGGAGAATGTTCTAAACAGTTGTATGAATACTAGGACAACTGTGAAATACCACATAAAGGAAAATAAAATTTTAAATCAAAACGAAGAAATTCTCTCTTGGTCTGAGATTACATATATTATGCTTTATGGCAGAGTAGGGCATTTTCTCTAACAAATAGACTGATAAACTTCTAGAAACTAATGGAGAAAAAGAAATATGAGCGAAGTATTACTTAGAACTGTTCCAAACTAATTAAATCAAAAGAGAACTAGTTTCTCCATTATATGGCATATAGAATTATGTCTTCTCAAGCATGGTTAATAATTATAAGATAAGAGATATATCCAACTTACTAAAGACTTATCAGGATAAACCCCAGCTCTTAGCAGAGATGCCTTCCAGCTGTCTACATCCTCCTGTGAGTCACATGCCAGCTCAAGGAAGCGATAGTCTTTGTATACATTCCTGGAATTAAAAAAAAAAAAATCATGCTTTTAGTCTGGAACCAAATTCAAAATGATTTTATATCACTGCAGACAATGATGATGCAAATGACAGTCCAAATGGATGATTCTCGGACAGTCACTAGAGGAAAACAAAAACAATTCATTGTATTTAAAATAACTGGTAAATTCCTATATTATATAATCTTTTTAAAACTTCACATTAAAGAATTCAGAGCCACTTGTACTGCTAAGCAATAAGAAAGGAAGGAAAGAGAAATGCTCTCAGGATGATACACTGGGTGCCAAGTCAGAGTGGTGCCAGGGGAATGGATCTGCTGCTGCCTAGTAATTAATCAATTTTCTGAGACCATTTTATAAGCCCAAATGGCTTATAAAACTTTAAAAGGTATGGCAATAATCTTACAAACTTAAAATACTATCCTAAATTCAAAACAGAAATGCTCATTTATACCGTGAAAAGAAAAAAACATTAACCAGTATTCAACAGAGTGAAATGCCAATAAGGGCATATTGACAACTGGGACAATACTGTAATTTTATTTATTTTCCTAACAATAAAATAATACATAAGATGTAATACATGCCCATTTAGAAAGATTTAGAAACTAGATAAAAGAATAAAAATGGTGACAATCATCCACTTTCCATGGTTTACAGATAAACTTATTTCTTTATACTCTTGTTCTATCCATCTTTCACACAGTTGAGGTCTCCCCAGCCCCCTTCTCTCTCTGTCAACTTTGAGTCCTTTTTTTACTTACTATGATATTATGGTCATTTACTTAGGCCATTACATCTTTATAAACATCAAATTAGAATGGCATGATATTCATTAATATAAATGTATGATAATTTAACCTCTTCCAGCTATTAGATAATTAGGTAATTTCCTTTATTTTTATAATCAGAAATAATGCTTAGGTGAGTATTTTTATCCATAAGCCTTTCACACTTACTCCTCTTATTTTCTGAGGATAGATTCCTATAAATAGAATTATAGGATCAAACTTACAGTCATTTTTTAAGACGCTGATATGCATTACCAATCACCCTTCCAGAAGAGATTTAGACGGATACTAGCAGAATACCAGAAATTATAGTCTTTTTCTCTTCTTATTCTGTTCCAGGGTATTCTCATTCATGCCCAAGAGCCTTAGTTTACACCTAAACTCAGAAGGCTCACAAATTTGTATCTCTTGCCCAGGACTGCCCCAGATTCACAGTGTTCACTGACTTCTCCACTTGACTATCTCAAAGCCACCTGGACATGAACAACTGAATTGGTTATTTCGGCTTGCCCTTCCCTACCTTCCACTCTCATACCCGCTTTCATCTGACCACCTAAAAGTGCACTTCCTGATCACACTGTCACCCTCCCTGAAACCTCACTGTGCCCTCCTCATGGGTCTCCCCGCATCACATGGCTCCTTTAAATTTGCTCTCCACACGGCGTCCTCATGATCTCCTGAAATGTGAATCAGATATTTTTACCCATGGAGACAAACACTCTAATAGCCACCTGCTTTTAGGGAAAGACTACACTGTCTACCATGGCCTTTAAAACTCTGTGTAGTCCGGCCCGTAACTGTTACCCTTCCTCTCCAGCTTCTTTTCACATTCTACTTTCCCTTGCTTTTTTGGCTCCAGGCATGCTGTTCTTCTTCTGCCTCCTGAAATGTGCCATGCCTACTCTCAAAGGTCTCTGCCTGTAGCTCTTTTCTTCTTCCCTCATTGCACAATTAATGCCTACTCTTTCTTGGAATCTTAGATCATATTTCTATTTACCTTTCCTTCATAGCACTAATCACAGTTGTGAATTCAGAATTATGTGTGGGTTTCTTTTTCTTTTTTATTTCTTATTTATTTATTTATTTACTTGCTTACTTACTTAGCTATTGTCTATCTTTCCAACTAGCCCACAAGCAACATTAGGACAGGGAATATGTCATTTTTATGCTTATCATTATATCCCCCAGGGGATTTGGGGAAGATGATGACTTAATTGTGCTCTGCTTCCTCTCCACTTCTAACTCAGGTCAAACACATCTTCTTTTCTTGAGTCAAGCCAACTGTGGGACTGGTACTTGGGTAGAGGGTGTGAGCTAGAGAGTTTCTTGCTCTGGGCTGAACAGAGCTTTGGGACCACAGCAGGAAAACTCAAAGGCAAGGACCAGCATGTAGCAGACCTTGGTAGGGCTGTCCCTCAATGATCACAGGACTCCTGGGTGTGCCTGATACTCTGGCTGTAAGGAAGTATGGGGGGTGCTGAGTCTTCTCTACCCTAATGCAAAAGAAAGGCTCCCTCCTGGTGCCTCAATAAGTAAATGGCAACTTGCCTATTTTGGGCCTGTGATGATGGAGATGTCTGTGCCTTCCCGCCCTCACAGGACCAGTCCACTTAAAGTGTCCAGCAGCTGGACCTATGCTACAATGAACAAAGGAAAATAAAAGGACATCTAATAAGGAGGCTCATAGCCAGAGAAAGCAAGAATGAAGAGAGCAATCAGAACAGCTTATCAATAAAGAACTGTTGGGGGAAGCAGAAGAATAGTATTTGAAGAGGTACAAGTAAAACATTAAGAAAAACTTCCTGAAACTAAAAAATAAGATTTTTAAGTCAAAATATTTACTAGATAAGTTGAAGGAAAGGATGATGAATGTTGAGCCTAGAATTAGTAGTTTTCAAGATCTAGTGGGAGAATTTTTAAAAATACAAGGATAGAGAACTTATGAAAGTGTGGAGGAAAGAACATCTAACCTGTAAATAATAGGAGTTTCAGAAAAGGAAAAGGAAGGTGGGGGGAGAAAAATAATTATAAAAAAGAAACTACTGGGCGCCTGGGTGGCTCAGTCATTTAGGGTCTGTCTTCAGCTCAGGTCATGATCCCAGGGTCCTGGGATCGAGCCCCACATCGGGCTCCTTGCTCAGCAGGGAAGCCTGCTTCTCCCTCTCCCACTCCCCCTGCTTGTGTTCCCTCTCTCGCTGTCTCTATCTCTGTCAAAAAATAAATTAAAAATCTTAAAAAACCACTACTTTTTAAAAAAGGATCTTATCCTGATTTTTAAAAAGATCTGAGTCTATACATTTTACATGCTATGTCATGTGTACTTGATGAGAAAAGATACCATGTAGACATTCATTTATACAATTCTTGAGCTCTGAAAAAAAGAAAACATTTAAGAGTCTTCTGTAAAGAGATAGCAAGAGATAGCAAGTTGCTCAGAAAGGAGAAAGAATGAGACTGGCCCTGGACTGAACATTCAAAAGGTAGAAGGCAATGAAGTAACATTCATGGACTCTTAAGAGGACTGCAGAGACCCATATCCAGCTGGGATACCGCCACACCCCTGACCTGAGGGAGTGCCTAAGCAGGGAGGAGATTACAACAGCACCAGATGAATCTGCGGAGCATGTTCAAGTTGAGGAAAGAGTAAGAGGAAAAAAACAGTGGTGAGCAACAGAACTTGCAACATCCACAGAGTTAAATCAAAATAAATAATGACAGACCATCTAAGAATATGCAGTATAAGGGCTAAAGAAAGACTCTTACAGTAAAAGAGACACACTATTCAAACAGTCTAAAAGTTGGGGAAGGGTAGGAGGAAATAAAAATGTTCCCCAGGTCTTCTCTGATGGGTGCAGGGGCAGAGAATGGGGCAGCAAAGGGATCCCAGAGATCTCACTGTTAGGAGAAGTGGGCGTGGGGAGAAGCAGAAGAAGAAAGGGTTTGGGGGAGAAATATTTGATAATTTGCCTCATGGAATGATAGGGCTATGTACTGGTGATGAATGAAAATGTTAATGAAATTAAATGTACAGTAGAACTCTCAAATTAAAAAAGAAGAAAAAGGAGAAATTAATAGCCTTTGGTCAATAAAAAAATAAGAAGAAAAATAAAAAGAAGGAACAAATAAATTTTAATAAGATGGCAGGAATAAATTTATGTATGTTAATTATGAAATTAATGACAGTGGACTGAATTCTCTCAGCTAGTCAGTTAATTTAGGTTTAAAAAAGTTACATATTATTTGGAAAAATAAAGGAACAGGCAAAGAGAAATCACACAAGCACAAAACAAAGAATATAAATTCAAGAATGGTAATATTAATAATGGACGAGATAGAATTTGAAAGTACTGAACAAGATAAACAGTTTAAAAGCCCTAAATAGAATAAAGAGAAATATTATACAATGGTATAAAGTATAATTTGTGAAGATTGGAAAATACTCATAAAACTGTTTGTACCAATTACATAGTAGGGAAGGAAAGAAAGCAAATGCTACTAAAATTGCAAGAACTTGTAATAATTATATGTATGTAATCAGTTAAAATATAATAATAGAAAAAATTTAATATGACTTTTCAAATTGGACAAATATAGTGGACAAAAGTAAGTTAGCAAATAGAAGATAAAGATTTTTCATCATCCACAAAACATTTACAAAAATCAGTCTTACACTTGGACCTATACACATACAAAATACCAGCCTTAAGAAACTTAAAAAAGAGATTATATAGATCATATTCTTTAATCACAAATCAAAAAAAAGAAAGAAAAAGAAAAAAAATAAATTTCTAAAAAAAGAGACCAAAAACCCCTTAAATATATTCTTAGATAACCCTTGTATTACAGAAAAAAAACAAAACAAAATAAAAATTACAAACTATTTAGAAAACAATAAAAAATATAAACACACCATATCCAACCAATGGAACACAGCAAAGACCGTAGGAAAATTTATGGCCTTAAATATGTTTATTATTTACAGAAAGGAGAAAAATAGGTCAATGTTCATCTACAGGGATTATAAAACTATGATAAAAAAAAACAAGCCAACGAACCATGAGAGACGATGGACTCTGAAAAACAAACTGAGGGTTCTAGAGGGGAGGGGGGGATGGGTTAGCCTGGTGATGGGTATTAAAGAGGGCACGTTCTGCGTGGAGCACTGGGTGTTATGCACAAACAATGAATCATGGAACACTACATCAAAAGC